ATCAACTGAAAAACGACGAAAATAGAATCTTTTTACGGGATTTTAACGGGTTCACTTCACTTCAGCTACTGAATCGCTGCATGATGTGGTGCCTATCGCGTGCACCTCAACAACCTCCACAGTGGGCGCCACTGCAAACGTGCTGGCCGGTGATCTGCTGACGAGTCTCGTCGCTTGCGCGCCACCCGCTCATACGAGTGGCGGCGGCGGCGCAGGCCCAACTTCGTCCTCTTCTTGTACTGCTGGCGGCGGCGCCGGCGCCCATGGTAGCGGAGCGTGTTCATCTGGTGGTGGTGGTGGTGGCGGTGGCGCCGGCGCTTTAGGCTCATCGGCTTCGTTTCATACGGGGTGTAGTGGTTCGGGCGCCGGCGCCTTGGGCGCAGCTAGTGTCGGTTCTAACAGTGGCGATTTGGCCGCGGCACTGTCGACCACGGTTGCAGCCACCACGCTGGCATCGCTTTTCACTGGTGTTGGCTATTCGTCCCCGCAGCTGAATCATTGCGCCTCGTCCGCGGCGGGAATGGCGCCCAACAGCCCTTTCGTGGGCGCCAGCCCCCTTTCGACGAGTCCATCGACGATGGCGTCGGCCTTATTGGACACGTGTGGTATGGCGGCCGATTTCGAGCAACTAGGTTCATTTCTTGGAATTTTTATAGGGAAGCTAACATTCGGGTAAAATTTCAAGCAATTTTTCAAATATTCATGAAAATCTTTGAGCTGTTTTTTGTGAACATCTTCCCGAAATAGTCTTTCGGGTAGATTTTCGGGTATCTTTCGGGATCTTCCAGGTGCTTTCTAGTGTGTTTTTTGCGTTTTTTAGTCGATTGAAATGGTTTTTACCCGAATTTTTTCCCAAATCTGGTTAGAGAAGGAAGCATTTTAGGTGCGGGAACGTTGATGAGCGAGACTCCAACGCTGACCGAGACTCAAATTGGTCGTTTGGCACAATGCTCACTAAAACTTATCGAGCGATTGCCGCAATTGGAACCNAAATTGATTCAAAATAAGAAAAAAATCAGCCGGTGCGATTTTTTTCAAAAAAATTTACTGAAATTTTGTGAAAAATTGATTGAAGAAATGAAATTTGTGTGAAATTTCCACTGAATTTTCAATTTTTCGCCATTTTCAACGTTTACACTTTCAAAATTTTCAAATTTTGACAATTTAATTTGCAAATTTTCAATTTTCCGCCGAATTTTCTGCATTTTCAGCAGTTTTAATTTCAGGTTTTTTGAAAAAATTGTGTTTCAGTGACCTTTTGGAGGTTATGCAGCTGCCGTTGGGTTCACCACAACGACTGCAAGAGTACCGAAAATATTCGGCAATTTATGGTCGATTCGACGCCAAACGAAAGCCGGACAAACCACTCACCCTACACGAGGTGTCTGTGAATGAGGCGGCCGCGCAGCTATGCCTAAGACAACCAGCTTTGCTCACTAGACGCGATGAACTGTTTCCTTTGGCCAGACAGGTCAGGAATTTTTCAAAATATTCCAAAAAATTTTTTTGAAAAATTCAAAAATTTCCAAAATTTCCAAAGTACCACACATTAAGGCATGTTCACAAATTGAGCCACCATCGTATTGTTTTGTGACGAATCGACTGCTGCTGCTGCTGCTGCTATACCTGTATCTGTTTATAATGTTCTATCGTTCCATTT